CGCATTCATGGCAGCCTGGGTTGCTAAGCACGCAGCCTGCTATGCCGCTAAGCAGGCAGGACCGGGCAGAGCCATTAAGTCTGGAAGCAGCTGAGTATTTAATAAGCTGCATGCTACCATGCATTTGCATAGCTTAAGTTGTAGTAAAGCCCTAGCAGTGAAGGGTCAAAAGTGCAGGGCTGGAGGGCTAAAGCCCACGCAGACTCGGTCGTAACCCATCCTGTCCTCTGCAGAGAAGGACTTAGGGAGGAACCACGAGAAAACGAGTCTCACTCCAACCAAGGAGAATTTTAAAGACCAAAAGGCAAGAATGTTAAAAATAATTGAAGTTAAAGCACATGTGAGCAGGTCTGGCAAAGCTCATTTACACAAAGGCTGTGTGGTATCCACGCGCCCCCAATAAACCGAGTGCAAGGAGTGCAGTGGAAAGGAGAATGAGATTCCCCTCCTTCATGGTTTACATGTCTAAAACAGAATGACTCTTTGCTCGCCCTATCTGCGTGATGTTAAGATTCTTTTATGTGAATCACTTGACACTTATGTATTTCCCAGTGCCGATATTTAACTATTTCCCTGGGCATTATCTTCATCCTGACACTGCCAGAGACCAGAGTCCTGCCTCACGCAGTGGCTCCCAGCAGCAGGCTCTCCGTCCTCTCTTTTCTCTCCCTTGTTAGCAAAGGCTGTTTCAATACTCGCAGAGCTACCGGCTTCGGACAGGAGAGCCCACGTCTGATTTCACTTCCTCTAGTGTAATCACGGACTGCAGTGACTGTGCTTTTCATTTACACTGACGTAACCAAGATTGAAATCTGTCCCACAGCAAATATTTATCAGAGCATATCAAAGGAAAAGCAGACCAGAAGAGAAACGAGCAAAACAGCGAGTGCCATTAAACTTTGCCAAGACAGATTTCAAAGTCAATGAAAACACCCCAGAGACACAGAGCTAAAATGTAGGACAAAGTAGAACACTGAAAAAAATAAATCCAAATTTCCAAACACTGATGTCCTACAGAACAACTGTTAATTACTTATAACTTGCAAAGATTAAGAAGGAAAACCCGCACAGAACTAACGATACCTGAGCAAAGTCAATGATCACCGCTCGGCTGCTTTTGTTAACATCTTGGCTTTGATATGTACGCCCGTCGCGGCTACCTGCTCGGGTCAGGGACCCTTTCTACAGAGTAGTAAGAAACAGGACAACATCCACAACTGGCTTTCTAAATGATATAAAATAACGGGATGCCTCACTTTAATTAGATAATTAAAACTCTGTTGCTGCTTTGCTACATGCCAAGGACACTCAGTTTCTTGGCAACAGACCTCTAATTTTCCTCCTTTGATATCCAGGTCACAGCCATTTGGATGAGAGGCTCTTTTCCAGCAGCAGTGCAGGGCAGTGGCACACAACTTCCCGTCCTGCTGTTGGCATCCCCCTTGAAGTTCAGTGTCTTTCAACTACATTTATAAAAGCTGTTAAATGTTAAAGCCCTTATAAAGTGTAGTTTCTCGATATTCACAAAGGCCAGGGGACATGTAACCATAATAAAAAATTAGGTAGCCCTGGGCAACACCAGCAGCTTCTTACATCATCATCAACAAAGTCTCCTCCTGTTCCAGCTGAAGAACATGACTCCCTTTGGAGGGAGAGGAAAACAACTGTTTCATCCCCAGCTCTTCAGTTTCTCTGAAAGTTAGGTCTACCCCGTCCGTGACCATTTGCCATCATCCCCCCTTCTTATGAGAAAGGGGAACACCGTCCTAGAAGAGGTCTACCTGCTGTTCAGATTAGGTGAGGAAATCACATACATTTCTGAGGAGCGTTGACTCGGTCAGCCAGCTGGAAGAAAAGCATGTAGCACTGCTGGTACCAGTGCTTTGCCCGAGCTGCCGTCATTTGAACTGCAGAGCAAACTCCAGCCTAAGGATTATCAAACGTCATCAATCCATATGCAAGGCACAGTTCCTCATCCCCAGCCCCATGTAAACTGGAAAGGCGTAACAGCACGTGCGTTTTTGAAAACCAGATACTTTTTCACGAGAAAGGAATACAGAGCGCACTACCAAGGAGCGGGTGAGATGGAACAAAGCATACAGACCAGATGGTAGTCATGCTGCTTAATGCACTGTTGGAAGGTGCCCAGCTAGTCTGGTGATGAGAGATAGAAGAACCTGTATAAGATAATGCTCTTTGTTAAGTGCCAGCAATTTACTACATTATATTCCTGAGAACAGCTGAGGTGAATTAACCACAGTAACCATTTACTATTCCTTCTGACAGCCCTGAGATCGTATCTGTACTGCTGCTGTGGTTGATGCTACCTTCTGGGCGGATGCGAACTTGTTCAAAGCTAACCAAAAGCCAACCGTCCAGGTTAGCGCAGCGCCAAACCCTAGCCAATAAACCACCCCACGGGTATATTAGCTTATGCTTGCTGCTACGCTAACCATCCCTTGGGTTTTGGTCAACTTGGAGCGTGACCAGAACAGGCTTGCATCCACTCAGAAAACGTAACAAAACCAGAGCTTGACAAAGATGACACACCAGGTGTTGCAGTAGTAGTGGGTTAAACGCTCCTCCCTCCAGCTACTTCAAGCAAAGGAATGGTTACTAGGAACATGCCCTCTATGGAGTCTTTAACCTGATAAAGCAGGTATAAGACAAGGTATTTGTATTCTTCTCTTGTGTACAGCCTACATCCATGCCTATGTATCACCATTTAGCTCTAAAAAACATCCTTCAAGTTTGATTCTTTTTCATTGGAAAAAAAATCATTGAGCAATTTCATGAAAACAATGCTGCAAAGTGAGATTTGGCAGATCGTGTTTTCTACTGCTTGTCCTGAATTTGATCTTGCACTAGGGACAGGTAAGGTAGACAAAGCAGATCCTTGACCACAAAAATCTGGATTGCCTTGATATTCTGGAAATGAAACTAAGACAATACTGCTTTTTTTTTTCCCAGAGAAAAGTCTGGCCCTGCAAGATTGGTATCTCATGCACATAAGGGGAAATGAATTAATTTTTACTCAGAAGACCACCACTTCTCTCTACAGCTGAGCACATCTTAAATACTGTTACTGTTTCATTAACTTCTGATGATCAGACAGTAGCCATTTTCTACATGATCTCCTGTGGCACAAAGTACACAAGCACTCCGTGGTTATGTTTTGCATGAGCCATCTACTCTTGAACCATCGCTGTCCACATCCAGTCACCTGCAACATCTAATAAACCATGGATCAGAGTACAGAGCGGGTTAGACAGCCTTGGCAACCTTACCGTTCTGCATGAGCCAACTCAGTAACATGGCTTATTGTAGTTGGGACGCAGGTATGAGTAGTTTCAAACTATGATTGAAGATTTTTGCCGCGTTTATTTGGGTTATCTTGTAAAGGGAGCATTCCACGGTATGATGGCATGCAATTACAACATACAAATCTGTCTGCAGAGGAAACGCAGTCACCAGCTAAAATCCATAAAATTATTACACAGTTTTAACACAAAAAATTATGTAATTGTCAGAAAACAGGAAAAATAAATTTTGCTCTTTCTTTTAAAAATACACAATCTTAAGAAGCTGTATTAGAGGCAATGCAGAACATCAATTCTTTTTAAAAAAGAAAACCTCTCCAGAAACCGTTTCAGACTTCACACAAGAAGCTTGTTAAGAGGCAGTTTTATTTGTTTCAGTACAGCTTGCTTTTATCACTTGATTTTAGGTAATTATTTTTCCAGTTAATCATGTCTCATGTTTAGACTTAAAAGATGTCTATCACCTTTGTATTTGAGTAGTAAAGATTGCTGTTTTATTTATATTTATTGAAATCATGATCTTATTACTACCCCAGATATTAAGTCAATAATATCTTTCCTGTTAATTATCCACATATACTCTGAAATATTGTAGCCTACGTTGCTGTCATCTCTGTTTTTTAAATGTAGGTCTGATGCCAATGAATGGAATGAAATAGGACTCCTCAGAAAGCACCACATTTCCCATCTCTGGAGAAAAGTTATTTTCTTTACTTCATTCTTATTTCCCCTGACAGTTACCTCAAGCCTGTGACAATGACGCAGTCTTAACTCTTCACTGCTGTTTGGTGGCATTTCACTGACAGTTAGCACTTTGTTATCATGGGATGACTGCTCAGAAGACACTGGAGGGTGATGCAATTTTCAAAATTCAGTTTTTAATTAATAGGTATTAATCTCTCAAATCATCCTGGCAGCAGTCTCTGAGAACGGGCGTGGAAAGGAGTTCCTCTAACACTGAAACTCAGGCTCCCTTTAATGTAGGATTAAGGCACGCTAACCAAGAAACCTACTGACTGTTCTCTTTCTTATCTAGAAAAGGAGGATCTCCTGACTTCCTGAAGGTATTAATAAACACTATACATATATCCACGACCACTGAAGAACTATGTCCAGATTTCATTTTGACTGTAAATGTGGCAATGCCTGTGAACCAATCAAAAGAGTACAGATCTTTCAGAAAGATGAAATCAACTACCATTGTCTTCCAGTAAAAACTGGAGATCTTCATTCTTCCTCAGTCGATGTTTCTTTTTCTCAGAATCCCTCACTTTGAGATGTAAGTGCTTCATCAACAGATTTTGTATGCCTCTCCCCAGCATAAATCCCATAATGCAGCTGGTCATCCTTTACAGTAGCCCAGGACATCTGCTTGGTGGAGAACCTTGCTGCCCACTCTCCTGAATTGTTAACCACAATGACACCCCCCAAGCCCCCAACTCGTGTCCTCATGTAGTCCAGTGCAGTGTCAGCAGCCACCTCTGGTGACATTCCTGAAAAGAAGAACAAGATAACTTCATGGTATCTGTCTTGAAAAAAATTTTAAAATTCCCTTCAAGTTTCACCCCTCCCCATGGAGCCAGCCAAATCTATTTCCTCCTGCAACTAAATCGGCAAGAGATTTCCAGTGTAGCAAAGGAACTGTTTATAGGAAGGCTCTGGACAGTTGCTAATAGCTGCTATGGTATGGTGCTGCTAGAAAGACAGGATTTAAATAGCTTCCGATTGTAATTCAGTTTCAGTGTTCGATATAGAATAACTCATCAACTCTATGTTCAAGACACGACATTGCTTATGCTACCATTTGAAGGGAAAAATGCCATTCTGCAAGCTTTCCATCAAAGGTTTGTCACAAGCTAGGTCTAAAGCATTTACAATTTGAAAAAAACCACATTAAAACAATCAAAAATTTCAGTCATCATCTATGTTCCAAGTCCACTGGCTGCAATGGAGCTCAAAGCACGTACTTCACATTGTCATTATTTATCAATAGCAGACATCAGCGTTACTCTTCCTGAAACTTCTGAAAGTATCAGGCAAGATGAGGACTCGATCTACTAGATATCAGCGAAAGGACCAGCAAAGCAACTTTATCTTTTCATTACACTTAACTCATATTAACAGGAATATTTTCTAAATAAATCAAAGTTAATGTGTACATCATACACAAAGGCCTGTAGTAGCTGCAGAACATTTGTTCACTACAAGTTTGAATATATATTCAGGAATGCAGTTTGCTCGGCCTAATTGTTCTAAGATATATACCACTGGTAATGTTATGCAGTTTAGGTTGCAGAACAAAAACTGACCTTCATGCCTTCCCTGCAAATTTTGAGTTAAAACCAAACAAAACCAGCAGAGTCAGAATTATTCACAGCACTGATGACTGACAGGATAAAGCTCCTTTCTCTGATGTTACGGGTGACACTGTGACTATTCAAGTCAGTGGCACTGACTTCAAAGGGTCAGTATTTCACTGTTTGATTTTTCATCAAGACAACAGCTGCCACCATAAGACAGAGATTCCAACAGCTGTTAAAATTGGCAAAGCAATTCACTCCTGAAATATGAAAGTAAATTCTGCAGCATTGGCCCAAAAGAAGATATTTACTACATGAATTACTGAATAGCTGAACAAAATCATGAGAGCGCTCTATAGTTGTTCTTAAATATGCAACTTCAGTTGACCGTTCAAGGACTCAGAAAGTTACAATAACTTGAGGGTTTGTTTTCAGCGCCTTCATGGAAATGTTGGGGGGGGTGGAAAAAAAAGTCTGTTGCTGACGTATTTTCCTGGCAGCTGAGTTATACTTCTGGGCAGGATGAATGAAAGGAGAGCAAGCACGGGCAGGGTGAACAAGTGCAAACCAATTAAACATGCACACATGTGGGTTCATTTTCTTTTTCTCTTTTTTTAAAAAAACGTTTTAATTTGAGCCTCATTTGCCTTTCATACTGATTTATCACGAGCTAGATAACTGCTATCAAGGCATAGGTTTTGCAATGCAGTTAACTTCAAGCCAGCGAAGAAACTGGTTTACACGGTTTAGACTAAATAGAGCTTAGAAGGCCATTCACAAATTGAATAGCTAGGGACATAATATACAGAGTAAGGGGAGATCATAATGTGTTAGAGCTTTGGGAAATAATCTGTAGGTTGTATTTTATGCTGAAACTATCACATTAGCCAAGAGATTTACACAGAAATGCACCCATTCTATGCAAATAGCTCTCTATAAAGCATAACAGAAATACTCTCAGCTGTTACTTGTCTCTCTACTTACTGCTTCTCCGATGAAAATGTAAATTGAAAGTTTTCCAACTATTTCCAGTTTGGTTGATCTCAAAGCAAGTTACACTGCACTGCCCAAAAGCTATGGCTTTCTAAAAATAATGGTGATATCTATATTAATGGTTCTTCAACTGCATGCAATACAAGTATGTTGTCTGGCTATGTTTACAGGCTGTAATATAATCAAGGGTTTAGATGACAGACTAACTCATGAAGGTAAAGCTCCAAAGGGTCATCCCACAGTCAGATTATATTACAGTCACATAAGACATACTGTGTCAGCTGTTTACCACATACCCACCCAGTCAGTTTAGTATATTTTCCAAAGCAAAATCAAAATTTAAATCATAGTTAAAATGTCTTTAAAAGCATTTCTGTTGCTATAATCAGAGTTGTTAAAAACTGTAAAAAAACCTTTACAGTTTTTACTGTAAAGGTTTTTTACAGTTTATTAGAAAGGTGATATCCTACGCTTTCTTATTTCAGCTCTGACTATCTATCTCTAGCCATTCCCTACAGCTTCCTTAAATATGTCTTGCTTTTACTTGTTTTCTATTTCTTTGTTCACAGAATTTTAGTTTAAAATTGGGAAAAAAATTATTAATGAGAACTTCAGTTAAACAAAGTAGACAATAATGTCTTTCAATGTACACTGATGTAAAGCATGATTAAACATCAAGCAACATGATATTTCTGTCCACTTAAGGCTATTTTAGCTTTATTAATACTCAGTACTTTGTTTTGTTTTTAAAGAGAGGTGACCCATCCACATAGCCCTGGGAGCAACTGTTCTGACAACTGTTCTAGGATGATAGTACATAAACTGAAACCTGTGATTAGGCAATGTTTCCTATCCTCATTATTTCAGCTTACAGGAAGTTTGGAATATACCTTGCTCCATGTGATAGAGGATCAGTCGGGCCAAGACCACTTTCATAATGCTCTCCCCATGTCCTGTGGTTGAAGTGGCACCAGAACGGTTATCAGCATAACCTCCACTTCCTTTTCAGAGGGGAAAAAATAAAAGAAGGCAATATTCTGTAATACAATTTACCAGCTCTGCATTCTTTAAAATAGGTACCGAACATTTCTTCCTAAAGGTCCAGCAGTTCTGTGCACTTCTGGGAGTGAAGCATCAGTAACAAACTTCCTTCTCATTTCTGCCTCAGTTTGGAAAGTAAAATACATAAAAGAGATCAACAACAGCTGGATGAAGTCAGTTGCCAAGTTGAGAGAGCTAGAAGACTAGTGATCTGCTTGTGGTATAAGAAGCAGGCCAACACTTCACAGGGACGGGCAAAAATGTTTTCCAGAATAGCAAGGGATGGTATATTGATGATCAGCAAGATAGCGATGGGATGCAGAATGCCAGGTCACACAACATTACCAATTGAGAAGACTGATGAAGGAAGATCTTGTGAGGACATTGGTGAATTGACCAAAGTTTCAGGGGAACTTATCCGCAAGAGCAAGGGCAGATAAGAGATTTGAAGAGCCTGGGCTCTAGTGAAGCATCACAAAGCACTCCTGAAGAATCCTGCAAGTCCTCACCACAAGCAGAGTGTTTCTTCTGTTGAACTTCCTCCCCCCTTTTTTTTTTTCCCTCCCATCCTTGTTTTGCTGGCACATTCCACACCCTGTTCTCCACCAAGCTTCCGCTTGCTCAACACCCATGTTTCTAGCACAACTCCTAAGAAAAATATTTCCCAGGAGCTGGGGAGGAAGATACCAACAGCATTACAAACAAGGTACTGGGGGAGGGGAAAGAGGCATAGGAGAGCAATGACAGTTTCTTCCCTCCTGTACTTTCTTGATCAGATCAGACTCTTTGAATGGACCCCAATTTACACGTGGAAAAACACTGCCACAATCAGTCTGTCAAAGCCCCCTTTCAAAAGGCTCTAATATTTAAAAGGACAGCTAGCATTTCTGTATCCAGTCCTGCACATGTCTAGCAAGAGCAAAAGTTGCAAGCAATATGCTCAACAGTACCCAGTTTCACTTGTCCTTCACAGACTTATGTCCCATACTATAGGAGCCCTGAACACGATCTACATAAGAGAAGGGTATTTGCAGTCAGAAGGCTACGGTCAGAAATGAAGCTGAAAATCACAGTCAAAATGCAGAGGGTACCAAAATATTAGCAACTTAGGGTACGAGAGAAAGTTAGTGTTAGTTTTATAATAATCATGCACCGCCAACAGCAGTGCTACTTGAGTTTGGAACATGTTTTACTAAAAATAATTATTTTTTCCAGATCCCAACTGTATGGTAGAACCCTGAAGCAATCAAATGGCAAGTCTGTCCCACGAGAGGAACAAGTCTGGGGAAAGGATTTCAAGTGTCTCTTTATACTTGGATAAGAGATCTCTTAAAATATTTCCTTTATTCCACACCACATCTATTAGGCTCCGAGGCAGTCTTATCAGGACTCTCTAAGAACAGGAATTTACTCAAAGTTGCCAGTCATTTTACAATTCTGGCTCACTGATATAACGAACAGTAATGTTGAACTTCCTTACTTCCTTAAGCATCAAGAAAACAGCATCTTAGTATGGAACAGGCTACATTTTTTGACTTAGCCGTAAGCATGGATGTACAAAAGGAAAGCTTTATCAGAATGAACAGAAAGGAAACACAGGAAAAAAAAAAGTTAGCATTCAGGAAAGGACAGAAAAAAAGAAATTCCCATCCCCATTTTCCAGACAGAGAAGTGCGGGATGATGATAATACAGCACTACACCTCTACTCCCCCAAGCCTTACTTGCACAACTCTCCATGTTGTGTTAAGGAGCTTGAGCTTTGATACATTTAAATGTTAGACCTCCACTTCAGATGTACCAGTGTTTATGTTTCATTTCACTAATGAAAAGGAAAATGTGCAATATTTTTTTTTCTTTTTTTCTTTCTTTAAATGAGATACCTACAAAAAATGAGAGGCAAGACCCCACACCCCATACCTATGCATGCTGTGTCACCAACACGGCCAATCAGTTTATTAGAGAGTCCTCCAGTGGATGTTGCACAAGCTACATTTCCTTCACTGTCTATAGCAACAGCACCGACTGTTCCAAGGTCTCTGCCAAGAAAAACAGTTCACAAAATTAGGCAGAATTAAAGCATACCTGCCAAAGCATGTTGCATTTATTTTCCAGGTAGCTTTAAAAAAAGATTACTGCAAAAAAATTACTGCTCATCATAAAGCTATTTTTTACCATGCTTCTCATTACAAAAATAACAAGCAATATGCAATAATTCTCATAGCTTTATATTTAATAGAGTAGAAAACACTCATTTTTTTTATCTCCCCATGACTTGTTTACCTTCATAGCATGGGAACTTCTACTTGGGGAGGAAAAAACCCACAAAACAAAAGGGCAGAAATATTTCTAGCCATCATAGTTCTGGAGTAGTTTTTTGGCTGTGACACACCTGACACAAAAACTTTCCCCTAAACAGCAACTCAAAGACACAAGAATTGTCTCCACTGTCTCAACAGGAGATTAACCGGAATTATTAATGACAATGCATGTAAACAAGTGAATACAGACAAGGACAGTAATGTTATGCATGCACTGAATCATTTCCTTCCTGTTCCTCCTCTTTCCTCTTCCTTATTCCCCTAAATGTTTGAATGCCACAAAAAAAAAGTTATTTATGTGCCAACTAGTATTGTTCACAACGCATCATTAATACATATTTTCATCTTTGTACTCTGTAGCTACGCAATCTTGAGGTTTAAATCACTTGGCCAGCAGAATCTGTTGAAACCGCACATCAGCTTAAAAATCTTCATGCACTAAAGAAAATAGAAGTCTCAACCACTGCTTTATTTCTTCAGCACAGAAAAGTCATATATATTAGGCTGCTTAAAATATACATGTGTATTCATAATACTCGGAGAAAAAAGGCTATTGTAACTTACTGTAACAGTTGCTGCACTGAGAAGCAAGACATTACTAACAAGCAACAGTTTGAGTGTCCACATATTCCAATCTTGGCAATTCATGTGGGAACATAAAACATTATCTGGCTAGGAGAGGTGTAACAAAAAAATCTAAATCCCTCCACACAGGAAAAGAATTTGTAACAATCCCTCAAGGAACTGCCCAACAGGCGACCGACTGGAACAGGAATACCTTTGGAAATTGCCTGGGCACGGGTGAGTCTCTCTCTATAGCTCCACAAAATCTAAGCTAATTAAGGCAGACAAAGTCTTTGTGTACCATGAAACCCACAGTCAATTTCTCAGAGAACCCACTTCCTGTTCCCTCCTGCTTATGTAAAATATCATACTGTCAGTCCCTACACTTCATTCACAGCAATTCAAAGTTGACTGATGAATCACAGGCCTTACAAACTGCTCTGACATTTATGTGGAGACGGACCTCATCTCAAACTGAGATGATGGTGCAGATGGGCTTCCCACCCATCCATCTGTTACAAATGATTTGCTGAAAAGAGTATTAGTAAATTCAGTACTCCCTTACACACTCATGTGGCACCCTTCAACCAACTAAAGTTAGATCCTCCTGAGAAATTAAGAAAGATGCATCCAGATGTACATTTTCCTAGGTATGTATTTACCTTAAGCAGCAGTGAGAATAACGAAAGTACACAGATCACATACACAGCAGCTATCCGTTTTGGTACAAGAGCTCAACTGGCGACAAATAACAAAGTGAATGTGTCTGACATACCTTATCTGCGGTGGAGCAAAGAGACAACTACACTCTATTTCTTACTGTCCCTTTAAACTTTTTTAATGCTTCAGTGTCACATGTTTTCTTTGTTCATCTTCAGAACAAAGGCAAAGAAGATATAAACAATCTGTTGCATAGCTAGTTGAAACTCAGAAACATTACCAAGGCAGGCAAAACCGTCTAAGAAGAGATATCATATTATAATCATCTCTCTATTGTTAGTGATAGTAGCAAGAACCTCAACAAGCACCTGTAGTATACCAGGGGATGCTATTAGTAGTAATGATTTTGTTCAATCAAGAATTATGCTTATATACTGTGATACAGAATGGATTGCTTGGATTTGTTCATTCCCTTTTGTCTAAATCTTTCATTATCCAGTACCCATGAAGTTACATGTACTTACTCTATCCCCATTCAACTAATAAGGCATCTCCTATTTCGCCTCTTAGCTCTGCATCAGTAGTAGGGTTTTCTATAGATTGCTGTCAGGGTCCTTGTTAATTAATACCTTCTTGAATTACTCTTGCACTGTGATTCACAGAGGGGCTAGTAGCCCATCTACTACCTTACGGTCGGACTCAACTCCCTTTCTGTGGGGTTCTCAGGCAATCTCCAGCAATTCTTGACAAAGGTATGGTCAGAATCTTTGGAGTGAGAGACTGAAGATAAAACAAACCACACGTTATTCTCAGCAAAAGGTGTACAAGATGCCATATTGTACGTGCAATGGAATCGTAAGCTTCTAGCATAAATGAATGCAGGCTTCTAACCAGCAGAACAGAAAGGTCTCTCTTCTGAAGACACCAAACTTCGCTTGGAAAGCTGCGAACCCCCAAGGTTTCCAACACTGTTAGGACCAGAAGACTGGAAGTAAAGTACACACCAACCTTCAAATTCCTAGTATGATCTGGTATTATGTTGCCTCTGACTAACCCTACTTCACCTTCTCTCTGTTCACCTCAGGCAAGTTTCTGCATAATTACTGTGGACATAACAGGGAAAAAGAACATTCCACATGTGATACAGGAACAAATGGGCTTGCAAAAAAAAAAAAAAGACCTGTTTTTGACTTTGTGAATTTGTGCTGATGTTTTGGGCACTGGTTGTCAGAAAAAGAACAGCATGGCTAAGACAAGAAGAAGTCTTGAGCCCTTCAGAAATACACAAGCCTTCTATTATCAGACATTCCAGAACAAGACAATGCTGAAATTGAAGATGCCTAACACTGTTATAAGAAAAAAAAAAAATTAAGCAGTTATAAAGAATGAACGGAGATTCAGATGCCATGCCATTCCAATGTATATACTCAGGAGACTAAGTGGCAGTAGGGGCTATGCCATCCTCAAAATTCTTCGCAATGAATTATAATACCACACAGTCCTTGGATAGACCATGGATCAAAAGAAAACTTCTGTGGATACAAGATGAACTATGACTGAGACCTTATGGTCAAGGAACAACTTCACTTTGTTTATAAGACCATATTTACACTTGCCTCATGAATTTGTTTTTCCTTCAAGCAATTTACTGAAAGTAACATGTAGCTTGTAATTTATAGCCTCATTTCATGGACTTTAATTAACATGCCCACAGAAGAAATTTCCTCCTTTTGATCTACAAATTCTTCAGCTCTGCTTCTCTCATTACTACTATTTCACGGAACAGACGAACAACATGTAATACAGCATTTATGTAATGTAATACAGTGTTTTCCTATGCCACAACCATTGACGTACAAATGGAAGCTCGAAACAACTTAGTATTTATACCTACCTCCCAGGCATAAAAAACATTTTTGACACTGATGATTTTCCTTCCTTTCCCATCCACCTCACCTTCCTCTCTACTTTATATGAGACTTGCTTATTTTTCAAGTGACTTTCGTTTTGCTGTTGTGCAATACCATCCAGTAGCATCTCTTTTCACACCCACCACTACACTGAACTTCTTGGTCAATTTTTTCATTCCTATCTACAATAACCAATAGCCACAACCAGCACTCAGAAGGAGTTACTGGTCAAAATCTGATGTCGTTTAGCTACCTAATCCAGTTTAAAGACAAATCTGAGCATCTACTTAACCAAGATCAGCTTTATTAATTTTTTTTTCATGGACTTGTTTTAAATTGTGGACTGGAGATTTTTCAAAACCAGTTTCTCCATGGAAAAGAACTACACAAAGTGATGCCTGCTGTTTGTTAAAGCTGCTCTATGCACTTCTGTAACTGGTGATTTTAAGAGCAATAACAAGTTCTAACTTTGTCCTCCATTAATGCCACAAAACTATGTCAAAGTGACCGACAACCTTCTTAAGCATCAACAAGTTTGTTCAAGTTTGTTCCAGTCACTTACACTTGAGCAAATTCATTGCAAGCTTGATTTTTCATTACTTTCATTGAGGACATACTGTGAAGACTGTATCAAACCATGTAACACTCAGAACTGAAGTATTCTCAAGTCTGAATACAGGCCTTCAAGCTTTGGTATTTGGGGTTTTTTTTTGGAACTGATAGCACAAATTAAATTACCTGGATTTAAAGAGAGAAAATATTTTACAAACCCCCTACTTCTGAAACTCTTCAGGGTTGGAATCTGGCTCAAGGTTCTTCTTCCATCTCTCCCGGGACCTCTCGGTTATGAGTGTCTCCCCTGGAGTGTCAGGAATACCCATGGCCTGAGCAAACAGGTGTGCACCACAGCCAGTCAGCAGCATGTGCTTTGTCTGCAGAAAACAGACAAGAGATTCACTGACAATTCTTGGTTTGCCTTGTACTGAGCAGTTTTGTGTAATCACTCTTTATTTTTAGAAGTATCCACACAAAGAAAACTCCAAATGTTGTTTTATTTTTAAACCTTCTAGATTTCTATGCCTATATCCTCTTCTACTAGCTAAAAAAATTTTCAGTTCTCCAAAACACAGATACAAACTTTCATCATTAGTAGAAAAGAATTGCATTTATCTATTTAATACTTATTATAATGGGAGAAGAAAAATTGGTAAATTTGCTCTTTTGCTAATTTGCATGCAACTTCTTTGTACTGTTTCCAGTCAATCACCAAATCACTACTTAACTGTTTTGTCCAGTTAACTAAGAAATCTAGAAGATTTTACTCAGAAGGAAAGAATGGTAAATAAATTCCTCTTCTGTGTGAAGGTATTACACCTCATACGAGTAAAATAACAAAAAAATGTAAATATCATACACTAAAGTGTTTCTTAACATCAGCTGAACCATTTTATTTCAAATATTTCCTTCAACTAGCTGCTACTCTTATAGATCCAGAATTTCAAATTTAAGAACAGAATACTGTTCTAACGGGTTTGACCAAAAAATGTTTGCTCTCTTCTAACAACATTTGCAGAAGCTCCATTTTGATTCCTTTATTTAGCAAAGCACTTAGACCAGGTTTTAAGTCAACAACCTTAGTTAAATCCATGCTTCAAAGTCTGTACAGCTTGGTTAATTCATATTTTAAATTTATCTGGCAAGTTTCTCTATTTCATTAATCCTTATACTTTAGTAGGAGCTCTAAAATCTGACCGTTTTTTTTTTTTTTTACATCTGTGCCCAAAAATAAGCATCAACTTCTTGGACCACTACACAGCTGTTAATTGCTCATCAGAGCCCAGGAAGATTTTGGAGGAGCGGTGGTCTGACTATACAGTATGGAGTCATTTCAGAGCATAGCACCTAATTTCAAGCAAGCTTTTATGTCCATGCAGCAGCACAGCACACAGGTACCAGCTGAGGTCCAAAAAGTAGAACCCCATGATGCTGGAGGCAGCAGGCCTGCAGAGCCTTGCAGGGCACCGAAGTAGCACATACTCGGCTCTCAGCCTGAAGCAAGGACGCCAGAGGTTGGGTATTTCTGTGTCATGCTGCATTCTGCAGGACATTTACAGTCTCATAGATTCAGACCTTTAAATGGTGCAGACCATCAGCTTCTGTTGATTTCTAAAGCAATGACAAGCAATCACTACCATGACCAACCCATAGCACTGCATTGTTTTAAAGGATTCCAGCCGAACCTCTTCCCAAACCATGGACACTGGATCTCTACTTAAGCCTATTACAGCCTCTGCACTAACCCCTTCAGATAGTTACAGAAGCAGGAAATGTGACTACACTTTTGAAACATTCCTGATGTGGTGGCCCCAACATCAAACGTTTTTGAAAATTTAAATGCCTTTTTATTTACAAATTAAGTCCTGAATTCATGAGAGTATTGCTTTAGGGAACAAGAATAAGGGTTACAATGAAAAGTCCTCTGTATATGTGAAAGAGTGGACAACAGGCTTATGTGCCGAGTGATGATACCAGACAATAAAAGACCTACCTATTTCTAACAAAGCTAGTGTTCTTCGACTTGAAAGCCAACTTCTTTGTGCAATACTGCCCCCCTCTGCCACTAAACCACCAGGAGCACACGATCCAATAATTCAAACTGGGGTGGGTTTTTTGTTTGGTTTTTGTTGTTGTTGGGTTTTTCTGTTTTGGTTTTTTGTTTGTTTGTTTAGGAAATACATTTTGACTTTATCTGTATCAGAAGGCTCTGCGCTCCATCACTTGCTTTCTTCAGCAATTAAGACTGTATCATCCTTTAAATAAGTTTAAAAAAAAATGAAGTGTTATTGTAAAAAATGGAAGTTATTTCTTAAATCTTTTTCAAAGGGTTCCCTCCCATATGCAGATTCTGATAACACACCCACCTTCCTGAGCTGCACAAACAAGAAATACTTGCATATAGAGGAGTAAGCTTCTATTATAGGGTTTTTTGGTTGGTGTTTTTTGTGGGTTGTTCCCCCCCCCCCCCCCCCCCCCGAATTTATCAAAGAGAATTTGATTTGTTTTTCTCTTCCATATATCTTGTTGATCAAAAGAGCTGGTAGAACATTGCCAAACAACCCATAAGCATATTTTTCTCTCTCATCCTTCTTCTACAGTTTCATAAATATGTTTGCTAACTTTAAGTGCCTCATTTTTCTGGGACACATTTATATAAAGTAATCCACAAAGAAAAAAAAAAAAAAAAAAAAAAGGTTCCACAGATCTTACTAACAAAGAACAAATGTTGGCAAGTTTAGTTAATTTCATGGGAAATGGGGAAGATAAAATCCACCAAATTTCTGCAGCTGGCCTGAAATTCAGACCATCACTGTTCTTTATTTAACAATCCCGGCAGCATGCAGAGCACAGCAAAAATTTGCGCCTTTGCCTTGAGAAGTTTGTGTTCTAAGCTAAATTCTCCTTTGTCTAATGTAAAGGGCTGGACGATCTAGTAGGGGAAAACATATACACAGTTCACATATACCAATGAATCAGTGCTCTAACATTCATGAGATGCCCATCTAATGAAGTGTTGGAGCTGAGGGGGGATTACATGCCCTATTAAAAAAAACAAACCACAAAAAATAAAACACAGCCACCATTTCAATGTATCATTCTATTTTTGTTTACTACAAACAGGAATAATTAAACAGGAATTTAACTGCTTTCTCAAGGATTTGTTGAATTAGTTGATGTACTAAAAGCCTTCCATCTCTAGAGGCTGCTGTGTTCAATAGCATAGTAAACCATGAATGGAAATTATTCTGGTGCCCTCCTTTCTTCTACCCCATGAATTTGGACAAGTTGGAGCCCAGTGAGAATGCGACAGTACACAGGATAAGTCTGTGCAACAACAAGCTAGAAGAGCTGCTCTGTCCACCAGATGGAGCCCATATTGTTCCATAATAGGAATGGAAATACAGAAAATTACAAGCAGGTGGGGGGTGGGTTGGTTGGTTGGTTTCTGGGAGCTGCATGTTTCAAAATTCCGTAAGGCAGTGAGGCATCTCAGAATGACTGGGAAATAAGCATCCTAACATGCTCAGGACCCCAGGAAAGCTAGTCTTGTTACCAATGGGTCACAAAGTTAAAAATATTTTTAACTATGCACAGTAAAACAAAACAAAATACACTTTGAGAAGTACTGTGAAATAGCCTAGGTTGGTGTCCCAAAATTCCTGTCCAAGATGAACAGAAGAGTAACATCAGTTGGTATTCCCATTTACAATACCTGACAGAGAAGCAGCAGAAACTCACCTCAAGACATATCAAGCAATTTAGGCCAACACTTACATTTGAACTTTGTCATCTACACAGAATTTGTTGCATCTGGGCAAAGAGTAATACACTTTACCACAAAATTTCATGGGTTTACGGCTATACCATTACACTTGGTCCTGTACGGTTGAATTTTATTATTTCCTTTCAAATTTAGCCTCATCATTTTTGAGCACCAGGAGCACCACACAATGACAAGAAAGGCCTTATAATAGACGAGAAAGACAAAGGAGACTTTTTGTTTTGGGGGTTTTCTGTTTTGTTTTTTAAAAAACACTTTGCAAAGTTATGTTCTCAAAACACAACAGTGTTGTTTTGACTTTATTCTTGTTGACTTAAATGGGATTTTGTCATGGAGAAGAAAAAAAATAAAAAAAATCAGTGATTCTGGAATGGGCATTCTGTTCATCTGAACTGAACAATGGGCATTAAAAGAAGTTATCTACAGTAAAAAAAAAAAAAACAGAAAACAAAAAAATATAACATTCCTCCCAACATGCTAGAAGACATCTCTCCCCCAACCCTCCACCTGCATTCTCAAATTTTTAAAAATTTGGTCTTGTGAAGCTCTCTACCAGCTATACTTATTTATTTGTTCTAGCTAAATGACAGAATAAATCCCATGTGAAAGCTTATTCATCACAAGTTTTAACATTGTTTTCTAGTAGACATACATTTTTAAAAGTATTTATATTAAATACTTCAGTGAAAAGTTCTGATTTTAAAAGCAGAACTATCCTCCAATTAAGGGCAAAAATAATTCCTATCTTCTTTGGAGGCTGTTGAGGACAAATTACATTTCAATTTTCTTTACAGATCACCAAAAGAGGTTTTGTTTCCTCAAAAGTAACTTCCAAAGGTTAAAAAAGCATAAATCCTCTTTGTTAATAGTGTTTTTGCAAATACGAACCCTTTTCAACAATGGGGCAGCTGCACTAGCAGGATGAAAAATGTAAACTCCAAAGACAGTACAAACTTCGATCTCGGTCACAGTCTAGTAATGGTAAAACAGATGCACGTATCGCACAAATGACCTACTCCATCCTGAATCATACCAGTTGCACCATTTCTGAAAAATTAGAGATGTCTGCTGTGGCAGATATTAGAGGGACTTCTTAGTGGAGTAAGGTGGGATCGATTTTACGTAGAAGGTCAAGTAATAATCATTTTGCTGCCCTGATAAGTTTGATTCTCTTGGAAAATCTGTCACCATCACATAGCGCTAATGTTATCTTCTTAGCCAATGTTATTCTAATTTACAAAAAGGGCGTGAGGGAAGACCCAAGGGACTACAGACCTGTTAGCCTAACTTCAGTTCCTGGAAAAATTATGGAGAAGATTGTACTGGGTACTACTGAAAGGCATTTAAAGAATAATGCAATCATCAGGCATGGTCAACATGGGTTCACAAAAGGAAAGTCCTGTTTAACCAATGTGATATCCTTCTATAAGGTCACCTGCCTAGTGGATGAAGGGAAGGTGGTGGATGGAGTTTTTCTGGATTTTAGTAAGGCTTTTGATACTGTCCCTCACAGCATCCTTCCAGACAAGTTGTCCAACTGTGGGATAAGCGGGTTCACAGTGCACTGACTGAAGAACTGGCTGAAGGGCAGAGCTCAAAGGGTTGTAGTGAATGGGCCTACATCTGGTTGGCAACCGATCACCAGTGGTGTTCCTCAGGCTTCAATTCTAGGGCCAGTCCTGTTCAATATATTTATCAACGATCTGGATGCAGGAGTTGAATGCACCATTAGCAAGTTTGCTGATGATACCAAACTGGGAGGTGCTGTTGACTCTCTTGAGGGACGAGATGCCTTGCAGAGGGATCTAGGGAGATTGGAGCACTGGGCTATGATTAATGGGATGAAATTTAACAAGACCAAATGCCAGATTCTGTACCTAGGACGGATTAACACCAGGTACAAGTATAAATTGGGAGAGGAGTGGCTGGAGAGCAGCCCTGCAGAAAGGGATCTGCGGGTGCTGGTCGACAGCAGGCTCAGTACGAGTCAGCAGTGTGCCCTGGCAGCCAAGAGGGCAAACCGCATCCTGGGGTGCATCAGTCAAGAGAGGTGATTATCCCGCTGTATTCAGCGTTGGTGCGGCCTCACCTTGAGCACTGTGTGCAGTTCTGGGCCCCACAATTTAAGAAGGACGTGAAGGTCCTTGTATGCGTCCAGAAGAGGGCAACAAAGCTGGTGACAGGGCTGGAAGGAATGTCCTATGAGGAGTGGCTAAGGACTTTGGGCTTGTCTAGTTTGGAGAAAAGGAGGCTGAGGAGTGACCTCAATGCTCTCTACAGCTTCCTGAAGAGAGGAAGTGGAGAGGGAGGGTCTGAGCTATTCTCCCTGGTATCCAGTGACAGGATGCATGGGAACAGTTCAAAGCTGCGCCAGGGGAGGTTTAGACTGGACATTAGGAAGCTTTTCTTTACCAAGAGGGTGGTCAGTCACTGGAACAGGCTTCCTAGAGAGGTGGTCGATGCCTCAAGCCTGTCAGTGTTTAAGAGGCATTTGGACAACACCCTCAATAACATGCTTTAACTTTTGGTGAGCCCTGAAGTGGTCAGACAGTTGGACTAGATGATCATTGTAGGTCCCTTCCAACTGAAATATTCTATTCTATTCTACTGCTGGAAGACTATGACTTTGCACTAAGGCTACCATCTGATTAGGTCACAATGAAGAAGGCCACCTAGAACAACATAAGACTGCATTACATGGCCAAATATGTTATTGGGTCATTTAATTCAGTTCCATATCATTGCAAAGTCAACAGTATATTATCCAACTTTAATCTTGCAAGATCAAGCAGAAGACTTGGTGACAGCATAAAAGCTCTTCAAAAAAAGTGAACAAAAAAACCCCCTAAAATCTTCAACACCAGCTGTGGCACAACAGAAGATTTACATGTATAGGTCAATTTCTCCTTGAGCTTCCAATTGCATGGCAGAACTTTTGTTTCCTTAGAATGCTATTTTTAATAAATACCGCTCAAAAACCCATAAAATAAAAGTTCTTCGTGGTCATGACCATAGTTTCCAAACACAACCATCCATTTCTCCCTTCTTTCCTGCCTTAAAGCACTACACAAACATCATCGAGGTGTATCAATATACCAGATGAAGTTCTAAGGAAAAAAAATGTTTCATACTCAAGCATACCTTTTCCATGACAAGTCGAGCGAGTTTTATTGGGTTTGCTATACATTTAACTGCAGATACTGCTCCAGAGTCTAAATTTTTTCCATCCATGATAATGGCATCCATTTCTACTTCACCTTTTTCATTTAGGACAGATCCATAGCCTAAAGAAAAAAAAAAAAAAAAAAAAAAAATCGGGGAGGAAGGGAAAAAGAAGGAAGTCATTAAGAGCTAACCATCAGGTGATTCAATTATTAGATCTCATCAAGCAAACTTTCTCTTTCCCAGTTTGTTGTCTGACTTACTGAAAGTATCTCCTGAATACAAACAAAACAGCAAAAACACTGCTGAGTATAACCACAAAATCCAACCATTAACAGAAGTCTCACAGGGTACAACATCTATTTTAAAATCAAGTTCTATTTTTAAGATGAAAAACATACTTCCAATCCCATCCAAAATGATATACTAGATACAAAAGTTAAAACGACAATCATGAACAGAATTCTTTATCCCCCAGATCACTTCAAGTGAACATAAAACTATTTTACCTTTACAGTTCTTCCAAAGGAGCATACAACATAACCCAGCAAAATAGTGTAGTGTTCAATCCTATCAACAGATTAATGTCACATAGCATTCCAAGAAACTGCCAAAACTGATGGAGCAGAATAAAAGTGTCCACTCACTAGTGTAACAAAAGCTTGAAATAACCAGTTCTTCATTACCAAATAAAAACAGTAGATGAAGAAATTAAAAAAAGAAATCAAGTAATAAATTGTTATTGGGTAGTTATTTTCTTCTGTAATTATTGGTGCTATCACTAACCTAATTGAAAATTAATGTGATACAAAATGAGACAATGCAAATAGGTTTGAGTTTTTTAATAATGCCAATAACTGTATCACAGGGGAATAATCAGTTGCAAGTCAAGTGCACAAGCCTTGCTAATAAGGATGGAGAAGGCTAAACTTAAAAAGAAGTAAAAAAACCCAAAACAAACCACAGACTTACACAATAGCTCAGGTAGAAAGACTTGAACATTGTACAGAGCTAGAACAGGTTTTTTTATTTCTGTTAAGCCAACATTAAGGCAGGTCAGAAATGACTGTTAATAATTGTTGACGTAAGACTTCTATACTAATGTACTTCAGACCTGAATATATGAAGTTAAATCCCCTGTTCCAGGAGACAAAATCCTGTAATCCTCCTCCTGTAATCTCCAAAACTCCCCCTGCCACACACAGACACGCCTGAACTCTGCCCCCAAAAAGTTATTTTTCACCCCTCTCTGACTGCATAAGCTATTCCAGAGTTCAGTCCTGCACCATTCACAAAGTGCTAATTTCTAGACTACACTGATCTGTGGAGAGCTTATAGGTAACTTCCTTGTGCCACCCATGTTAACATCATTCTTCCAGCTTCTCCTTTATGGTAACATAAGGAATGCCTTCTTTGTTTTCTCAGACAAGCCCTGCCATACTCTTTTAGCTTCCTTTGACAAGGTAGGCTCTCTAGCTCATGATCACCAAACGCCCACTAGAACTAGGACACCCCCTTCTCAAGTATCAGTGACTAGAACCATGGTTCCAGGGGAAGCTTTACCAGTCCCCTTCACCACTGCATTAATAGTATCCTATGCCTACTGGACATCTCTCATGGGATACGTATTAGGATTTCCTAAAATTTCCTGAGCAAGACACAGCTGCAGACAGATCCTACAGTCAAAGGCAGCTTCCTACAAAAGCCTCCTTTTACAGTTGGTGAAGAGAGACGCCCTCTAAGAACAATTCATCCTACTTGCCTTAGAGAGCTGTATAGCCATCCTTTCTCATTCCACTGACCACCGTGAAAGCCTGTACACCATGGCAAGGCTAGATACTAAACTTCAGGTTATCTGAGGTAGGATGAATCCTTCCTTCTGTGATTACAGACTGTCTTTTCACCTGCCTTCCAGCACAATGGGTAGGGACTACCTGCCTCTGAGGCCACATACCTTTGGATACCATTGGCAGCAGCACTGAAAAAAAGTTTGACTCACTTGTGAAGCCAAGGCAGGGAAAAAAACAGGGACAACAGAAGAGAGAAAATTTAAGGGGACACAAATAACAAACATGTCTGACATTAGCCAAATCACAGCAGGGGTACTGAGGGGAGTACTCCAATTCCCTCTATCTACAGATAGATAGATCTGTCCTGCAAAGGCTGAGGAGGAAGCGAAAGGATCACTATAATGACAGTTCTTACATCTGGAGTATTCACACCAAGCTAGTTAATACTGCTAGTCAAAGAGATCACATGAAGAAAATATAACCAAGGCCACTTCCTCATCACAAGCAGAACTTGATGACTTCATTATGCTGCACAAGTCACTAAAATGGTAGTTTTAGACAACAGTATAGCTTCTGAGCCCCTCCACCAATCCTACATCAAGATGCATCTACACAGCATGGCTAAACCCTATCATTCAAAAAAGGACACAACTTCATCGTTATGCCCATTCTTCCCAATCTTTATTGTTGTCTCTTAGCAATGTCTGTGTTTTCCTAGAAAATAATTATTACAGTAAAACTGATTTTTCTTTTACAAAGATAAATACCACACGGTGAGTTTTAAACAGCCACTCCAATCAAGGCCCTCTTCACATAGCTTTCAGCTCATTTTTGCCAGCTACTGAGACCAGCTGTATCTAATGAGTGTTAACACAATTAGATGTATCTGTAAGTGATTACCAGATTACTTGCCATTTAGATCAGCATAGTCGAACTTGAACAAGGGCTTAAGGCTCAAGTCCAGTTTAAGTAAATTTTGCTAAAAATTGCTCATTTAATATACTACAAACAAGGTATAAATATTGTTAGAACAAATTGAAGTAAACACCTTTAGACAAAAAAATAATTCAACATATATTTAATTAAGGATAAATGTGACCTTGGACCATGAAAAAGTGTACCACAAACACATATTGCACTTTGTACGTCAAGCAAAATGTTAAGTTGTAACTGTGTATCAGTTATTGGATATGGTAGAGTCTAAGGTCCTATCCTCAAATGATATGATCATTTTTAGAAGAGTATACACTCCTCACAGGTGTCAGTTCAATGACGGCACACTACAAGATAGCATGGCTCAGAAAAAGCAGTATTAGTGACAAGATATCACAAGAAGGCTAAAAAAACCCTAAACTTGTATGCAAAACACAGAATATTGCTAGTTATTGTGATCCTACTTAGGATAAGTGCCCAAATGTTTCAGACTGTTGTGTACAAGTTAAATAAATGAGCCTAAACAGATCATTATAAAGTAAGCTTTCATCACTGAGAGTCACACTGAGCTAAGATATATCTCCCATCTAAATAATTTTGATTTACAGAACAATCAAAATTAGTGTATAAGAAACCAAGTATGCAATTGTTTACATGGAATGATTAAGAAAGAGATGTAAACAATCTTTAAGCTTATATTTATATTGAAGTTGCTTCCACATTAACGTTGGACACCTAATGTCGGGCAGAACATCACTGAAGAGATGCTTCTCAAGAATTAGGATTTTTTTCCTGCCTGAAGTAGCTGGTGTTTTTACAATAGCAAATCTAAATTATCTCGCCAGAGAGATATTTTGAGACATAACCCAGAAGCATAAACAGAGCCAAAGGCCAAATAGATGCTGATTGATACTGACTTGAGCAAAACAAAGTCCTAAAGGCTAGTGACTGATTTAAAGAACAGGTGAAGAAAAGTAAAAGTTAAATGAGAGAATGCCATCCTGATGTTAATTATGTAACAGTACACACCGCACCTCTAAGTCCACTTCATGATCTCCTCTTGAATTCTCTAAAAATCAAGAAGTTCAACCCAAGTCAGTAACAAAACACTGAAAGTTTCATCTGAAGTAAAAGCTCTCCCTCGCTCTCAATTACAAGGTGAGAAGGAACAAGTGAATCTCTGCGAACTAAGCGTGCACATAACTAATAGCTATGTTATCTAAAACACTGAACACTGACAGGTCTTTCTTTCCATGTTCATTTCCTGACATACCTTGGTGGGGGTGGGGAAATATTTTCACTGAAATTCATCAGAATAATAAATCTGAGGTCATACGAAGAGGAGAAAAATAGTCAACTACTGACATTAACATTAATAATTAGGAAATCCAGTTATGAACCTTTACTGTATAAATTCATGACTCATACCATTATTGCATTACTTCTGTAATATTATTTACAAAAGCACTAATTGCAATCATTAATTAAGAGAAAAACCACCTAAAATCCCCAAGAACCATATTCCTCTGGCAACGGGTACAGGTCAAGTGTTAGGCTTAAACATTGCTGCAAGCTATGTTCAGGTGCCTTAAACATGGATGTTAACTAAACATATACTCCATTAAGGAGTCCATGTTTAAAACTGAAGATGCAGCACAGTAACAGGACAAGACTTACAGAACAGCAATACTGCAGCACAAGAATGAAACGGCAGGGATAAAACACTGAAAAACGAGAAAAGAGTAACTCATCTGCCTAAGTGTGCTCACAAGAAACTATGGTATGTACCGTGCTATTTTATTATACAGAGAAATAAACTATTTCGACACACCAGTATTTACTCCACTGCAATGTGCATAATTCAAAGAAAATGCACTTAATTCTTGAAAAATTACCTGCATTAAAGTGAGGATCATCTTCCATTGATCGTACTGCCTCCTCAACTGCATCCAAGGCACTGCCTCCCCGTTTCAGGATACCATAACCTTGCAGCGCAGCTCTGACAACACCAGCACGGCTTCCCTCTTCTCGTTCTTTAAAGATCCGGCCAGCTCCACCATGCACCACAATGACAGGCTTCATCCTGCCAAATTCCTCCCAAGGCTTTCAGCTGTGCACACAGGTTACTTGTAATTAGCCTATTTTGGAAAGAAGAATCTTTAGCACATGCTCCCTTCTACATGGAGAGAGCCCTGCATCTACATGGAGATACGGTCAGTTTGACTGCAACCATTTTACCTTTCAGGAAGCTGAGTACTCACGCAAAGGAGCTCCTGATTCAAGTCTCGACTAGAGGAGGCCTCAAGCAACTCGGTGCAACTTTGACATCAGCCCTGCTTTGAAGGCCCCTTCCAGCCTAAGTTAGTCTATGATCTTATGATTTAGCATGAAGCCTGTCTGGTGATATTACAGCTTACACAGAAAAAAAGTGTCTGCGTGACTTTTGATCCTGCTAACTGCTCTTCACATTAGATGGGTAGCACCATTGTTTAAATACATAATACAACCAGCAATAAAGAAAAGTGACTGACCCGACCCTAGTTAACAGCTTAACCAACTCTACTGCCTGGATTTCAAACCTCTGACCTCTTGCAAAACTTTGTACTTCACGCAGGAATACAAGGCATTCAAACGTGGCAGTCAACACTTGGTTGTTACTGCTCCTGTGAGCAAAAGAGAGTGTTGCTATGTATTCTTGGTGATAACATTCACATTTTTGTTTCCCGAAAAAGGCAAAGGAGATGCAGCATCATCTCCCACCGAAATCTAGGGCACCTCACCGAAGCAACTCTCCACGTGAAAGCAGTTTCTCAGGGCCACCTATTTTTGGAGGCTGTTTAGAACAAAATCCAACAACCTTTCTCTCATCCTACATGCAAACCCTTTAGACGGAGTCTCCCCGTAGTCCTGGACTACTGACAGCCCTGTCCCTCCGGCCCGCCCGGCCCTTGGCCCCCCCGCAGCCTCAGGAGTGGCACTCGCTCTCGGGGCCCCCCTGCCAGGATGGCAGCACGAAGGCACCAGACGAAGATCCAACCTGTGCCGTTTGGGCGTTACAGCCCGAGGTGGGGCAGAAACGTCGCGATTATCACCGCGGATCCCGTAAGCGAGGCCTTTCTCCTGGAGGCCGTTTGAGTTTTTATTTCAAT